CAATGAGGGTAAATAGAAACATTAGATTTGAAATAACGGAAACATATTAGAATTCAGCTTTTTCTGCATGCAGAAAATTAAACGATCCAAATGATTAAATGATCTGTGACAACGATACCAATATTCACCAAACCATGCTAGATCTATTTACTAATGCAAACTCGAGTGAATTTGAAAAACGGAAGATACCGATTAAATTTAAAACCTTCCTCAGCGTTCTTCGTCATTGCAGAATTCAGGTATATCAACAGCTTAATATCGAAGTGGAACTGTTCTCAGGATCTACATCAGGCACTCATGAGAACCTTAAATAACTTACTCAATGGAAAGAAATTACAAGACAACGTTATTAACGAGGCTGAATCTTCGACGGTGATGTTTCTACCTGACTGTCATACTGTAACGCTATATTTTACATTGTTTCCCTGAAGCGGACTGAGCATGACACAGAACATCAGAAAATGTGTATAATAAATTCGAAATGAGGAATCATCTCGTAAATTTTTTTTGAATTTTGAACGTAATTGTGTAGATTTATAAAAACTATATTTTTATATACCATTATGCCGACCCTTCGACAGAGCAATTTGACTAGGTAAGTACGTCATTAACAATTTCATCGCCTTGCCGACGCTTATTCAAATCCATGTTTCTACCTTCCAGTATAAGGAATTTAAATAAACAAAAAACAGATATGTAAAACAATGTATCTGTTTATAGTGAGGGGTCAACAAAAATAATTCGGGCACTAGCATTCATGTTTATTTTATCTGTCTGGCGTAATCTAGAAATCATCGCCATTCAAGTTCGTTGCAGTGTGCTTAATAGGAATATGTCAAGTTATGCCTACTTAACAGGTGCATTACTATCAACTTCAGCATACGTAAATAACGGTTTTGCACTCACTTGTCGCAGATGTTCAAATGTCATGAAACAACTGTAGCGGGCTTAAATTATCCACTAGAGTAACAGAGCGATGTGAAAGTTGCCTCATAATCTGATTTAACGACTTGCATAAGTCACTGTCTATGAGACTCCCGGTGTCAACCAATTATATACATGATTGTAAAATATAAAAATCGTTAGATCCGAAAGAATAAATGTTGTTGCTTACTCGTGCAATGCAGATTTCGCTTTTCAAGCTTTTCCTTGAACTCTGCCATAAGTGCGAGATTCATTCTACAACAGCACACTACATGCATTAGTTAAATTGGTCATCGATGTTTCTGCAGCAAGTGCAGCAGTGCAGTGAACTGCAGACAAACCTGATAAGATTACAGAAGAAACCACACTGGCTTTGCTGATAGTACGGAACGTTCTCGTTGAAGCGCTTCATACAGCCCAACATAATAGTGCGTGAAGTGGGCACGATATCGTCCTCAATCTCCTGAAAGAAAATGCGCGCCATGGGAGTAAAACCTACGAACATTAAGTGCTACCTCGTACACGGAACAGGTTAGTAATGAAGGTAGGTCACTGAACATTGCGTCGTTGCTGTGGTCGTCGAAAGTGCACGGACGGTCTTCGATGGCTGACAGCACGGGCATACAGAAGTTGGAGATCTGACGGCATAACGGGCACAGGAATTCGCCATGCGACACTTCTAATACAGTTGTGTGCCTTGGTCTCTGGTCTGACTAAAACTGGTGAGCATTAGGGAACGGAAAGATTAATTTAACAATGATATTTTTCATTTTCTGCGGCGGAATGTTCAGAAAGGCCTAACTGTGAGATCGCTGTCTTACCCTTCTTATGCGTCGATCTTACGGCAGCCGTTACAGTTCATTTGGTAAACAGGCAAAGAGCCCAGTCCCTCTCCTGTCACGAGTTTGCCATATAAGATGTCGCGCACAGTGGTACCTGTTAAGGGTACGCAAATACTAACGGACGGGTAGAAATAAAAAGTTATATTTTAAAGAAATGGTGTCACCGCTATATGAATTTGGGAACGTTGTGCTGCTTGAGATCATCACCTTGAAATATTTGCATAAGCAAAACGGATATGCGTGATGACGGCAACTGTAACTGCAGCATTTCAGCACCTTTGCTATAAGGCAGTGATCATTGCGTCGTGGAAGGAAATGTTGCTCTCTGAAAGATCTGTCTCCACCTTGTTTCTCCACGCTAGTCTCCTTGTCTATGTCTTCATGTTTCGGTTCCAGTACGAGGAGCTCAAGGGGCTGGAAAAAACGGTTTATGTTTAAGTAGTTTGTCTGATATGGCCAAACTTTAATTTCTTACACTCTACATCTCTGATCACTTGTGCCAGAACATAACAGAGTCATTCCTTGTGTGACTCTGCAATTCGGTCTTCAGTAGGCGTCAAAGGCAATGATGCAGTATGCAATTCAAAAGCCGTTCTTGCTCATCCATTAGAACAACTGTCTCTATGCCATACAACAACACTGACATGACAGAGGCAAGGTACAGGCGGATTTTTTTACAAGGAGTTATTAATTTCTTAGTTCAGCTATTGAGAACGCTGTTCATGGTGTTGTTAATGAATACTAACTGCGTGCAGTGAGTAGAAAAGAACAAAGAAATCAGTTACCCGCAAAGTATCTCGATAGGCATCTAAACAGTCTTTATGTACGAAATGGCCACAGCACTGGATGAAGACTGATTCGGTATCGAGGAAACAGTACTCGTCTGTACACGACAACTGAAATAATGCAACGATGCAGCGACCGCGACCGACAACAAGACAAGAAAACAAACGAACGCACGTTGGAATACTTGAATTTCTCTTCCTTCTTCATGTGCCAAAAATGATCCAATGAGCCGCGGCTCTTTTCTGCATCCCTCAGGAGGACTGTATCAAAGCCAAAGTTCGGCGGCAACGTACACTTTTTAAAAACTAAAAAAATGAAATACTAAAGAATATTAGTACGTTGGTTAACAAACTGTTGGTCGACTGTGCCGACGCCACCAAACAGATCGGTCTTTTCGGGCAGCTGCTGTCGGCTTGACTGCATATGACGCACTCGTAAACGTCAGTGTCGTAATCAGACAGCCTATCCCCCGTCATCACATCCGTTGACACGCTGCTGCTGCTTGCTGTCTGTGATGATGAACCGACAGTTTTAAGGTAGTGACTCATCACTGCCTGCTGTTTGGCAGCGAACTGAGCCATCACCCTCTTCTGCCGCTCCTTGGCCATTTGCTTCCTGAAAAATTTGACGTAAATCATTTACAACGAAGCATGCAGGAAGTTTGCTCCTTAAGACTATTGTGCCGAAATGTGCTAAACTTTCATTTTAAAGAGATTCTAAAGAAAGTGCAATATTTCTATGGAAAACTGTACAACGATGAAGACAGCAACTCCTTTGATGGTAATAAGGAACCTGAAGAAATTAATGAAGCCGACGAAATTCTAGAAATCTTGTCAGAAGTACGATATACAATAAAACCGGTGAAGCGCGGAACCGCTTTGGGCGAAGACGGTATTACATTGGAACTCGTGGCATCAGGAAATGAATGATTGATTAAGAAACTAGCGCGCTCATTTCCACGCAGTGTAAAGGAACTGAAAATTTCCGATCATCAGACTATCGCATCTGTAACTCTGCTTTTCAAAAAAAGGGTAGAAAATTTTAAGTACAACAGGCCGAGCATCTTCTTGCCAATCATATACAAGATCTTAACGAAGGTGCTGACGAAAAGACTTCAAGAAAAACTAGACCCTGCATAAATAAAGGATCAAGTAGGACACAGATGTAGATTCAGTACGATGGATCATCTCCAAATGGTACAACAAGCAATGCAGAAAAGCAACGAACATCAGCTTTCTATCTGCATAGGGCTTATGAATTTCGAGAACGCTTTCGACTCAGTGCACATCCGCTCTGTAATGAATATTTGAGGACTCGGAGAATCGAGAAGAAGGAGACACCCCATTACCATAATTTACCAGAATGCTACTACGTGCTTCACGAAAACGCAGACAAGTTCAAAATCGAAAAGAGAGTCTAACAGGAATGCGTAATATCACCTCAGTTATTCACGGCACTCCTAGAAGAGGTTTTCAAAACTGACCGTTGGGAAAATCAGCGCTGAATATGAATTGACACTATCAGCCATATGCGGCTCGCAGACGATATTCTGATCCTCTTAAGGGCACCAGAAGAACTCCAAAGTCGAATTAAAGAGCTGAATGAAGCCAACATGAAAGCGGGGCCGAAAATGAATCTGAAAGACTCTCAGGTCATGTTCAACAAATACATCACCCTGCCATCCATTTTAGTGATTGGCCGTAAGCTCGGAGAAGTGCAAACCTTCGTTCAGAGTGGACAACTCATCCTTGCAATAGAAAACCGAGTATGAAAAGTCAGCAGAAATACAGAAATGGCACAAAACGCTTTTGGAAGACTAAAAATACTCCCATCCGAGAAACTGCGTTTTTCTTTGTAACGGAAAATATTCGATCGTGGTATGCTACACTACCGGTACGATACGTAGATTCTAAGCCTGAAGGCAGAACTTAAACTGCACATAAGCAATGTAGCATAAAAAGATGTATATTGGGCATACCGAGAAATCATAGTATAAGATGAATGAATAGATATGATCATCTAAGAGTTTTGTGATGTTACTGCCTGCGTGAAGAAGTTAAAGTGGCAGTAGGCAGGACACACCGCAGGAAAAACAAACCATCGCTAGACTGCAGATACATTACAGTGGGCCTGATGACAAGTAAATGATCCATAGTAAAACCTCCACATGCATAGCAGAGTGCGCCGAAGAAGCTCGCTGATAAAAATGACATAAAACACAAGTTTATGGCGAAGTATTGGGTAAACCTTCATTAAGCAGCGGATCGACAACGGTTGATGATGCTGATATTAACTATTGTTATTTAACTAAGTATAAAACCCAACAGACCTCAGGAACAGCATCAAGAGAACGGGCAGGATTCCGAAGGAGCTACAGTTAAAATTTATATTTTACATAAAACCTAGGTGAACTCACGAGGGAATTTCAGCTAAAACGGTGAAGAGCCTACGTTGAGTACGAGAAAGCGCTCGATAATGTCGGGCTGCAACGCAGTGTGGAGGGGACTGGCAAAACAAGGCATCGACACTCCTTACATCAACCTGCTAAGAGAAACGAACTCCGGATGCTCCACAAACATCACGCGGTTGGACACTGCCTTCTCCCCCTCCGAATTTTCGCAGAGAAGGATGTGAAACAACGAGACAGCGTCTCTCCAAACACGTCAATGCCTGTTTTTAAATGGTATTCCCGCGTATGACTCGGAAGGCTAGGATTAACGTCAATGCTAAACAACCTAGTTATCTAAGGTTCCTGATTACGTGATTTTGTTTGCGCAAAACGCCGGTCAGCTACTGACATGCTGCAAGGGTTCAACAAAAAATGCAGAAATCAGACTGCAAATCTACTGGTTAAAGATGAAGATACTGCGATTAGATGCCCAGCTGAAAACCCAGGTAATACTAAATAGATAGGAGATAAATACATTTATCTGGGCCATGAAATCAACACGCGGCATGATAAGGATGAAAAAACGAAGAAAGAGGGTCGGTTAGCGCACATTCCATTTCGTTAAGGTCATCCTCCTAGGCAACACCAGGAAAGAAACCCGCACCAACTTGCTCAATTCTAGCATCTTACTTGCGGGCAATATTTTGCGGCTATGAAAAGCTGCCATTCACTGAGACGAAGAGCGGAAAGAAAACTGTTAAAAAATCTCACGTCGTGACTATTTCCTGAACATGGTGATAAGACAGCACACAGGAGTGATGGAAATTGTCAGAAAAGAAAAACTGCGGTAGGCCGGCTACGTAGCTAGGCTGACAGACGGGAGATGG